GCCCATAAGTTAAAAGGAGAGGTTTTAGGTGTTTAGATCTGTGGCATTTCATCCGTATGAAAAACATCAGTTTCAGTCACAGATATCCTACCATACTACTGGCTGCTCACGCTCCACCATGATGATTTTTAGTGTATTTCTAATTTGGTAGAATATACAGAAACAATTATTCTAACTTGTACTGGTCTTTAAGCCGCTACGACATACGATCCTTACCACTAAGTCTGAATTGCAATCACTAGTCTGTTTAGAGTCTTACAAGGAGCACAAATAGTCCGAAGGTTTTTCACAATTATTTCTGGTTCCAGAGTTGTATAAGATCATATATCATAGTTTAGAAAAAGACTTGGGGTAAGGCGATAACTGATTTTTTCAAGGCTTTATTTACGGTGTACTTATTGACGCAACGTTGTCCTCTGTTTACGGTCTTACCTCGGAAGTACAGCTTATCTTCGGCAGATTTAATAAACTATAAACTCTCTTCCGATTGTCTGTCATTATACAGTAAAATTGTCATATGCGATAATCGACTCCAGATAACTTCATACTGTCAGTCATGAAATTTTTAATCTAAATATACCTAACTACTAATGAGTAGGAAGAAATAAATCGTTTAAATATATCGCAGTGCATGGTTAGTTTTTGAATGATTTTGTGCTTACGTAATTTACTCTAATTAAGAAAGACTTAACAGCATGAAATTAACAGAAGATCTAACTAAAACAACTGCACATACTTCATATGAATTATCTTCAGCAAATAGACACGAAATTTAGCCTTATTATGACCAATATCTTAAAAATACTACCCGTCGCAATAATACTGTATTCTAACAATATATTAATCCATATCGTCTCTGTATTCAACCAACTTCTTCTCTTTCTGAAGACTGTTTTTAAAGCTATCTGTTGCCTATGGCCAACTCACCGTCACTTAATCTTCTCCCTTTTCGTATTTTGTCTCCTTCTTACGTGAAAGAAATCAATACCAAATTACAGGCCTATCAGTCTCACCAGCACTTTAATCAAGACACTGGAAAGAATCATCAAGAAAAGCATCATGGCATATCTGGAAAATAGCAGCTTATTATCTAGAGCACAGCATGGCTTCCGAAGGAACCTCTCATGCCTGTCAAATCTCCTCACCGCAAGAGAAAGCTGGGTCAAATCAAGGGACAACAGAAGACCCGTTGACGTCGTCTTCATAGAATTCAGCAAAGCCTTGGATAAAGTACCTCACAAAAGACTACTCATGAAGTTGGAAAGTCTTGGTATCAAAGGCAGTTTACTAAACTGGCTCAGGGAATTCCTCATAGATAGGAGGCAGAGGGTTAGGATCAACTCGAAACTCTCCTCTTGGACAGCAGTACGTAGCGGAGTGCCACAAGGCACGGTACTCGAACCTCTCCTAATTAGTTTGTATATCAATGAGTTATCGCTGCTCACCGACTCCCCTATGGTCCTATACGCAGATGACTTAAAAATTTGGAGAGAGCTGAAGGGCAACAGTGACACGTCCACGTTGCAAGAGAACCTCAACAAATTGTCAGAGTGGTCCATAGAATGGATTCTCCCGATCAACGTGGCAAAATGTGCAACCATGCGCATTGGACAAGCAAGCACGAGCTCCTACGAACTAGAGGGAATAACACTTCCATAAGTTCAGACTCACTTGGACTTAGGTGTCATAGTTAGCCACGACTTAAAAACTACAGCACGCTGTTGCGCGGTGACTGCACGTAGTTTCAGGTCATTATGGGCAATTCGCAAAGCCTTCACTAGAATCACCAGAGATATTTTCACCTCCTTATATACATCTCTGGTGAGGTCAAGACTGAAAAAATATCCAGGCAGCCAGTCCTTGTCTAAAAAGGGACTCACACATTCTAGAAAGGGTTCAGAGGAAGGCAACACGTATGGTTCTCAGCATGACTAGCTTATCATACGAGGAAAGACTAGACAGTCTAAATCTCTTCTCCCTGTCATACCGTAGGCAGAGAGGAAATTTAATCACAATGTTTAAAATTTTAAATAATGACTACGGACCTGACCTATTCTCTCTTTTCCTTCCCACCAAGTCGGAACACCTTAGAGGACATAGCAGGAGAGTTCAAAAGCCAAGAAGAAATCATACTGCCGTTGAGTACTGGTTCTCACATCGAGTCATAAACTCTTGGAATCGACTCCCAGAAGAAGTGGTGTCTGTCTTGATAGGAAATGGTTTCCCCCCCCCCCCCTCGATGCATAGAAAAGAATCAAAAACCAATGAAAACGTCTGAACAGGTAGGTCCAAGTAGCCCCTAAAAAGAGGCTACTACTTAATTTCAAATTTAAAAGCCATACTGAAGCAGAACTTCTCCGTATACAACTTTGGAAATCTCTCAGTAAAACATGTTTTGTTGCCAACCTACGAGTGACACTTTCTTGTAAGAAACTATTCAGCTAGCAGGTGAAAAATGCTCTGCCTCACTGGGCAACTTCAGCATGCATATACCAGTTCACTTACTCCTAAAGAGTGAAGCAGCACATCGGCCGTATCGTGCGTCTGCTTGTAAAACGCGCTCGTGAACACTATCCAGCTTGGATGGCTAACAAAGGGAGTACGCAAGTGTGTATATAGTTCGATAACAGAAAATCGAATGAACTCAGAACAATCAGCTCCATTTGAAATGTCCTTCAAAGTCACATGAAAGATCCGATCAGTCCACTGAAAGGCAGTGAGATCAAGGCCTCTGGGCATAGCTGAAGCGCTAGTGATTTAAAAGTTCAAGCTCCCAGCTATGTTTTCAAAAGAAATCCCTCCAATCGTTGTCTCTATCATGGCCATCAATAAAAGTCAACCCTCTCCATTGTGACTATCCTATTATCTTTCTTATTCAATTCTCCTGTTTATTTTATGTTTTCTAATTCATATCTGCACTATCTATTTTTTTATCGGAAATTCCTGCTTACTCTTGTATTACTAGATTTCCAATCTCCTTATTGCACAAAAAAGTAATTTTTCTCAGTAATTATGATCCTAATATGCTTTTTATTGGATCTTCCTGTTTATTGTTCGCTCCGCCCTCCTTTATGGCTGTGAGACCTGGCCATTGAAAGTGGAAGACATGGAAAGCCAGGCTAGCTGTCTTCGATCATAGGTATCTGCGTTCTATCTCCCGTGTGAAGTGGTACAATAGGGTGAGCAATATTGAGGTTAGGCTTCCGTCGAGTGCTAAGTAAGGAGGGGAAATCAATCGACGAGGTTGTGAATCTACTTCGATTGAGATGGCGAGGACATTTGTTACGCATGCCTGGCCATCTCCTTCCTCCAATGACGGGCAATGTTAGCTGACATAGGGTAACACTGAAAAAGAGGTAGCGGTGGCATCAGTCAATGAAATCTACAACAGTTAGTTTAAGCCTCACGTAGGAAGGTGTATACTGGCTTCCTCGGGACAGTAAAAACCAATGGCTGGAGACAATCGGTGATATGGTTCAAAATCGTTTTCAGTGGCTGGCGCAGACGCATCCACTACTTATAATACCCAATGAAACTACATTGTTCTTCGTTATTACTATTACTTTTGCCTTATATCTCTGTTTACTGTCTATATTTTGCCTTCCTTCTCTTACTTTGTGTGCTACATGGAGTGTGGCGACTCGGACTGCTGCACATCGGTGCAAAGTTCTATGTTGAAACCAGTCAATCAGTTATGATTTATCATATCGAATAAAACTCTATTGTTCTTCCATATTAGCAATCTTTTTCCCTTACACTTCTCTTTAATCTCTTGCTTTGTGTACTACACGGGGGGAGAGTGGCAACTTGAACTGCTGCACATCTTTACAAAGTTCTATGTTGGGACAGGTCAGTCAGTCAAACACTAGTGTCTAACTTCTCATCTTGTCTCTTTTTTTATAATACAATCCGATATCGGAAGCTCTTTTTTGTGACTTTCCAATTCATAAGTAAACCCACTTACGCCAACTGTTGGCGTCACACATATCTGTATTGTTTTTAATACTATAAATGTACAAATAACCTAGACCCAGCATACTCCGAGGTAGGGCTGGACGTTTTGAACACTGACACTTCCCACCTATCCATAAATGTATATTCGGCACAACTGGTGGTGTCGGTAACACCGCGACAACTCGCTCGTATTTTTTGCTGTTGAAATTATAATATTGTAGCAGCCAGTATTCAACCGAAATTGAGTTACTTCCCAACAGCTTCTACAGCAGCCATGCTTACTGATACTTGTATGTACAAGCTAACTGATGACATCGAAACTGCTGACCTTCTTTTACCTTTACCTAGATTTCAGTTTTTTCATAACAATAAATATGTCTACACTTGGAACAGTTCCTAACCGAACCTATTCCTAACATTGTACAACGTGTGTGACTCGGTGAACAATATCGTGGCCTGATAGAAGACAACACAGAGCCACTTTGACTTTAAGCAAGCAAATGACTATGTGTAAAAGGATGCTACTGCGTAACTCTTCTGTCCATAATACAAATTTTACCAGTTTTTAGTTCAAACATTGAATCAGCCCTATTAATAATCTGGACAGTTCCCTAACTGTTGTCAATCCGCGACGAAATCTCTCTCGAAATCAATAAGAATCCTGCAGACTAATCTTCTAAGTACTAATTCATTGAGTGAATTAAAGACGGATTTAACTGAGATGTCATGGTCAGTGGAGTCCAACAAGTCTTGGATGAGGAAGAACACTGGTTGACGACGGTGCTAAATAGAAAAACTCATAGAAATTAGGATTCATGAGATGTTCAGTCCTGACAGTGACAGAATGACAACACTTTCACCTAGTAGTTTAAAGGTCTTGGATCTGACCCCTGGTAGGGTTGTGTGTAGAACACTGAGAAGTTCCAAGCTACGATGAATGAAACAGCTGCTTAGTGCTTTTCACAGTGTACACTAGTTCTTCAACCAATGTCAGTCACTATGTGACGAAATCTACGCTATAATTGATCAAACTATCACAAAACCAAAATCCACCATCATTGAATAACTTTAAAAATGGGACAAAATTACACAAATAAGAATTAAAGCATTTATTAAAATAAATCCATATATACATAATTATTTAAATACGATCAACGCCTTCTACAATATTGATGCTGTTCCCACGGACAACTGCCATATCAATTTTCACTTGATCTCCATTCTTGGCAACTTCATAGGCATCACTAAGCACGATATTCATGAAAGCATCATATCCGCGTAAAATACCAATAACCTCTCGATTAGCGTTTAGCCTGACTGCAAAAAGAAAGAGAATAATGCATACGCCACGCAGAACATTCATTAATAAATTCACTAACTAATCATTACAAATTGGGAAAACCACAACATCGACTGTAACTACCCATTCTGAAAAGTTAGACATCTCTGTTTTGTAACACGACCTTACAAAGATTTGTACACCAGAAAGCAGTGAACTCACTAACAGTAAAGCAATTTACTCAAGTTGGTCTCAAGTGTCATAAAAATTGAAAACCACATTATCATAGGTTGACTAAGAATTAGTGCAACAGTAGGAGAATAGGAGTTCGCGGTTAACACTTTCCAGAGGCCTAGAACTCTAGCTCTAGGACTATAAAAAAAGTCCACAAAATGACTTTCGTGGGATGTAGGAATGCTTTTTCAGGTAAGTATTTGTCCGTGCATCAGAACTCGGAGAGATCACCCAACTCAGTCGCTCGAGACGTTATCAGATATCACAGAGTCAAAATCAGTGTTAAGCATGTTACATTTTTCTCCTATCTGAAAACAACATAAAGTAACGAACGCTGCCTTGAACGCTCTTGATACCTTCACCTGTTTCCATAATACTATCTCACTTATTTTATTATTTTTTCCTATAAACTATCTCAACATTTAGAATATCATACTTTCGAAGCCAATATTTAACTCTCATCATGAAATATAGCGCGTGTCGCGTGCCACTGAGGGTATCTCTTTCCAACAACTTAAAAGACAAAGGCCAAATTAGTAGAATTTTATGACAATCTGGCTTCTTCAGGACTTATTGTTTTCGAGATTTAGTCGAGCCCTTGGATCTTAAAAACCAGACCTATATTAATTATCACAAGGTGACATCTACCTATCAAGCTGAGATGATAAGAGATTCAAACTTAACTGTTGAAAACACTTAAGTTTCCTAACTTATTAGAACTTTGTACACAGATGAACTGATTTAGGTCGTAACAATACCATTTTACATAAAAACAGATATAACAATAACACCAAAAGGGAACATGATTGCAGAAGGAACCTAACGACTAAGTGCACATTAACGTTACTTTCAGTCTCCAACCAGTTAGAAAAGGAATATGTCCACACTATTACTGAATAATTTGGTAGAACTGTAGCTTATTGGTTTCGGTCCTCGATTTTTTAGCTTGCGGGTCACGGTTTCGTGCCCTTACCCACCTATCAAGGTGTAGACAGCCAGGTACTAGCACTAGTCCTCGCACAGTAGTCTCTAACCACCAGTTCTTAACGCTACTATACTTGACTAAGACCAATAGTCAATGACCTCGTTGATTAGTGCTATAACTATTCAATGTCCACCCCCTGAGCATTTCAATGATTTCACTTCAAGTAGAACTGCTCTGTCGGAAATGCAGTAGCTGGACATGCGTAGCACAAAGCAGCTAACTTCAATCCAGCCGACACAAAAGTGCATCACTTCAATTTACCAAATTCCGAGAACCACTCAAAAAACAGAAATAAAGTGACATTTAGAGAAAAATATAATTAAAAACTAGTGGGTGCTTCTGTGAACGAGTTTGATTCACTCCAACAATAACTCTTAGTATCTCGAGGAACCCAGACAAGCAACCTACCACCTCCTGCACGGCTCAGGCTACCCATCAAAGTGCACCAATTTATGCTCCGATCACTACTGAATCTTTCGACATAATCATATTTCCACCACCACAGTGATGCAAGGTTGAAAACTGGATGAAGTTTCAAATGATTTATTGTTCATAATCCTACTTCAGGCATCAGTGCTTGTAGGTGGTGGATTTTCGTACTTAGAACACGTGCGAGCGTCCTCAATAGATGAAAATTCAAGAAGTCATCTACTTGCTCCCTACCAAACATTGTCATTTAATACTTTCAATTAACAAGACCTAGTGAACGAAGATAATTAAATGAAAATGACCTGGTTTTTTTACATTTCTGCTACAAGAGACCCAGTTTTTTACCCTACTTCTGAATCTAACCGGCAGTTCTATTGTAATTCGATTACTAAGCTTTTGCAGAAAAAGTTAGCGATTTTTAGTAGAATGACTTTTTTAAACCAGACAAACTGCGGCCACTGTGGACAGAGCTTACACAATGGATACTGACATGTTTTCCATTTTCTCCTAGTTTGTACAAATCAACTTACCTACATAGCACAGACCAATTACCTGAATTTCGTCTAGGAGTGTGTCCATTACTGTTGAACTTATGATTTTAACATGAACTTGTCGAACAACCTCTTTTTAGCCAGACTTCTTAAATGGAATAAATAACCAGATGAAGTCAGAAGACTAACCAAAGTTAGGTCTTATGTGAGCATCTCAGCAACACTGAATAAAACCAACACAAGTACTAAAATTCCGCTCAGAACCACATAGACTAAAGTGTGTATGTGCGTTTTGGCTTATAAATTTCAGTCACAGGGAAAATTTGCTACATGATGAGCAGCGAGATGACTTGGTCTAAAATACCTAAACCTAAGACAACTGAAAATAACTAAAGTAAATGCATGATTTACACGGAATATTTAAGTGACAAAATTAAACGAGGGCTGTGAGAAGTTACAAACTTACGTCGGAGTCGCTTGTCGAGGTACCTATAAAACAATTATTTATAACGAATCAATAATGAAGGACCCACTTCTTCAGTTCCGGCTGATGTGCTTTGCTCATTGTGAATCGGACGTTAAGAAAGTAGGCGTGAAAGGTAAAAATTCAAACCTCACGAAGATGAATCTGCGTTTCGCGGTACACTGCGCCCAGTTCAATATTCAATGCATTCTCTAAACATTGACGAACTAGTATAAACCCTACTCATATTTTTACTTGATTTCTGCAGTAAAAGGGACGATTATCGATTTTCGCTGCAGTTTAAGACGTTCTATCTCGTCGGTTATATACTCTAGCCTTCGTAGACCTAAGACATCTTGGCCTAGCGCATCACGCTTTGGCATTTGAAAGGTTTTGTGCTGGATATGAATCTCGGAGGGAAAATCATCCGCCACTTGCCAGAGATGCAGGTATATTCAACTGAAGATTTCCAAACAGAATGAAATGCGTATCATGAACTCCACTGCAAACCACTGTCAACCCAATAGAAAGTAATGTGCGGTGGGTGTTCATTGGTGAAACGACAGCGGCCTCACAACTGGCGCTGGTAGTGCCACTCCTAAACCTCATCTAACTCACAAGCCGACAGCAAGCTCAGGACAGAGGACAGTGAGGAGTGAGACTGACGACCCCACTGCGTATATCAACCTCACTTCTGATGAAATTTTATAGTGTAAATCCCTTTGTCCCAACTGTATAGCATGGAATAGAATATAAAGGGGGTTAAAAGATCAACTGAATTAGAAGTCTAGTTATTGGTCTATATTCGGTATTCACAGTGGGCAACTATCTCATCCGACACAGGTCAAGTATCTACCTGCGTGTTTATAAGGGACTCTGGATACGTCTGCAGGAGATTAAAGAAGTTCATTCATTCAGACATTTCTCTTTCAGCGGTCATTTTTTTAATCTGTGCTGACTGGATCAGATTCCAGGCAATTTTTTGAGGAACAAGAGCTCAGCTGCTATGTGATGTGATTGCATGTTTCTAAACTTTTCATACCACCGTTAATAAATACATCCTTGAATGGTTATATCCGCCTTCTCTAGTTGGGCGATGTTAAGGGCAGCCTGGTCCACCTAACCTTGTGACTGGACTAAAGAGTCAGGAGGTAGTGGGGCATAAGCTCAGGTCTGGCAGGATAGATGGCCACAAAATAACCGTGATTGTCATTTATGGTTGAAGCCGATAGGAAATAAGCTCGAAGTCGTTCATACAGAGCAACTAAGTGGTGACCTAGAGGTCTACAAGCTTCTCAGACCTTACGACTGATTATGCATTAATATTGCTTCGAAATTAGCGACAAAACCAGGGTTAGTCACAAAGTCATTAGAATTGTGACTGGAACGACTTACTTCATTGATCTTCAATTGACCTTTCCATATTAGTTTGTTTATTTGATATATCACACAGTGAAACAGTATTATTTACTGGATGACGTTTCGAACACAATTTGTTATTATTCATAATCATATCAATTGCAATCACACGACTTTGAAACTCAAGTTTCTCAATTACTTACTACCACAGTGCCCAAGTTTTACACATATATTCAATTGACCTGTTTATCTCTTTGGAACAGAGCCGTCTGCGTGATCCTGTTGACTGGATGTTGCATAGAAGCTACGTCACTCACTGCACGATTTTTCATAGCCTCAATTTTGTGACGTTTAGTTATAGAATATATTCAGTGCATTTATATCAACCAACTGTGATCTGAACGGTAGGACTCCTATATAATTAACTCCGCTATATCGGTTTATTGGTAGTTGAGTAGTAAATCTTTGACGTTCTAGTTCAACCTTTTTTTCAGTTTCACTGAAGTTCATTTGGTTATTAAGTAACTTACTGGCGTCCTGAGTTCTGGAAAGTTGTCGTCTAAAAACAGCGGTACTACTCGACAGCTCCCTTAACAGTTCCGGGGCTGATCGTATGATGAATTTTATCAGCTCCACAATAGGTTCACGCAAGTGCTCAATTTACCTAATTAATTCTGGTCGCGTTTACTAACCACTAGGCACTAGAGCAGATAAGCCTTCTCAGTTAGATATTAACCAGTCAATATTTGCTTATCAGTATCAATCTGGTGCTCACTAGCGACTGGCACTATTTAGTTAGGTGGTTGCCTGAGATCTAGTGAGAAGCCGTGATCAATGGGGAACAGCAGGTCTGGTGTGGGGACAAATATTCACCGATAACATTGGCTAGTGAATTTTGAATTGGCAGAAGATGGGATTCATGTACCATTGGAGTGGGGCCCAGTGGCTTAATGTTCTAAGATCTCTCCTTGTAACTGGAAGGTACCAGGTTCGACACCCCGTGGGGTGCGTACTGATGAGGAGACCCAACCAGGGATGACTCGGCTTTACAGTACTCCTAGAGTCTCCAGCGGTTCCCTAACTGATGTCAGCTGATGATGAAATCCTATAATCAATCAAATCTCTGCAAACCAAAACTTGAATGGACGTATTTTTTAGCGTAATGAATTGCTTTCCATAATCATAAGTTGTAAATATTGAACAAGCTCACAGCGTTCATCATTCCCTTTCGGGTTTCAGTGATGAATGGAAGAACGCGAAAAGTTAGTAACAGGTTCAGAATGTTGTATACACTTTCATTTCTACTTTGCCTCTTGAAGTAGAAATTTCTTCGTCTCTTACAAAGCGAAGTTAGTTTCTGACAATTCTCCAACAAGCGCATAATTTTCGCTGCTTAGAAAATATTACCTTGTATATCTTCACTTGGAATTATTTAGTAGTGAAGCTAAATGGTTAAATTCCTAGAGCTTCTTAAACACTGTGCAAAAAGTGGAACCAATTTTGTGAGCAAGGGTTTAGTGAATGATTCGTTGCCAACGATAATTAAAAAATCAAAAGTTCAGCAGCCTTCGAGCTCACTAAGTGTCAATCACCTTCAAGAGCAAGAAAGTGAACATTGACAATGGTATCACTTTCTGTTTTCAAAGGAACATCAATGGCATCAGTAAAGGGATGACTATGATTATCAGTAGTAGGCTTCACATGTAAATAAATACATAGTGAAATTTTCGGCACTGTATATATGGCAAGAATCCAGACCCCTTGACTAGTCAATAAATGAAAAAACAAAATAATAAAACAGCGGAAAGTGAACACAATGAAAAGAAATACACGTAACAGTAATAGAGATTATAAGTTGTTGCCTTTACACAGGTTTCAAATTTGCTTTGTAAGAATTTTTCTGACATTTATCTCTTCACACAAGACTCGCCCTAAATAAAGCATAGTTAAATTTTTATGTTTGGTCATATAAACATAAATTCTTATGAAACTGCCCCTGATCTTACTTGGAGATATACAAGAAGGATGTTGCAAATAAAACGGAAATTCGGCATCTGACAGGAAGTCTTAGTCAACCGTTTATAAAAACTAAAATACTCACTGGCGACGTAAACTTAAGTGAACAAAGACAAACCATCAACCCTGCTTAAAAAACTTCAGAGTCCTGTAAGATATATATATAACATAGTACATTTAGGTAAACCCTACCTCATCTGGTTTACTATTTCACTAGCTTACCAGCCGTCGCTAAGCGAAGAAATAAAGGCAGTTCCAAGCTTCGCCTGGCGACCCCGCCACGGAAAGCCAACCTGGTCGCTGTAGCAATTTCGAAGCACAAAAATACTGTAAAAACAAAAGTATTCTCTGATGAAATAGGAGGGACGAATTGACGTGGGCTGATGAAGGCCTTCTGAATGTAGTCAGTTGATATGTTTTCACTAGATGAAAGCAAAAATAAGGATGGGACGTGGAATGTTCTCAGAATGTACGAAGGTGGGAGGAGATATGCCAAAGTAGTAGGAGGGATTTGTGGGAGCAGGTGGGATGAATGAGGACTACCCAAGTTGTTAACTGGAGAGACAGTAACCTACTCCCTTCATCCGGACGACGACCACAAGCACACTGATGCAATGAGTGGCTGTCTCGATGTCACCAGCAGTAGACACAGCTCTGGTTCAGTGAAAACCAATTTCCTCTAAGATTATCACAGCAAGATTTAACTCAAAAGGAAGAAAGGAATGTCACAATCATCCAGTGCCAAGCACATGCAAACAACTCAAAAGAGGAGAAGGAGGATTTCAGTAAAAAAAACTGCAAACGGTAGTGGACAACAACCCAGAGGGCGACACTAAAATCCTTATGGGAGATATGACAATGGAGAACTCTTCGCAGACTTCTGCGCTTTCAGTGTTTTGGTGATTGAAGGCGGCGTGAACGAATACAAATATAATAATAATAATCACTTTATTCCACAACAATAACAATTTACAGCATGGAATTTTCAGCGTTTCATTTTACATATTGCAATGGTTTAGCTCTTTTTATAATTATATAAATGTATAAAATTTTAAAAATAGTAATAGTTAATAGGAAAAATAAAAACCCCAACAAAATACACCATTTCTAGGTCATAGTGAATAATAAATAAGTAATATAACAAATCACACATGCAATAATATACATCATTACATTTTTTAGTTGAGTTAATGATTTAGAAGTTGTAAAAGTTCTTTTCTGATATTCGTCTCTTCACACAATACTCGTGCCAAATATGGTACGGTCGAATTTTTATATTTTGTAGTACGAGCATAAATGTTTATGAAATTTCTTCTGGTCTTACCCGAAGAGATACAAGGAAACAAATGTGAATAAAGAGGATGTTCACTATCAGACAAAATAACTTTAGCTAAGTGTTTACAAGAATTCATGTGCCTATTGACAACAGTGTCGGTTAGTTGAGTCAAAGGGATAGCACTGACCCTACTTACAGCCCTCAATGTTCTTCGTAGTATTATATGGTCTTTTTTGAGTAGCCCAGGGAAGAATAATGGGGAACAATAAAGAATAATGGGCAAAACACATGAATTAATAAATTGTATGAGAAGAGATTGGGTTATACCTGAGTGCCTCAACTTCTTTATGTAATAAGTCAGACGGAAAACTTTCGTAGAAACTATAAGAATATGAGACGACCAGCAAAGGTTTGAAGAGAAACTAATGCCAAGATAAGAAACACTTGACTTACTCTCTATCATGGTACCATCAATATTACAACAATCATGAGATTGGATCAATCCATGCATGTCTTTTTCATTTCTCAAGCTGAAATCAACAGT